TAACCCGCCAACCCAAGAAAACTCCTAATCTCCGTAGCAAACCTCGGACGCTCCCACTGAATCCCAGCCTCCACCTTGGCTGGATCCACTGCAATCCCCTCTGCCGATATCACATGCCCCAAAAATTTCACCTCGGACAACCAAAACTCACACTTGGATAGTTTGGCATACAACTGTCTCTCCCTCAACACCTCCAAAACTGACCTCAAATGCTCACGGTGATCCTCCAATGATCTAGAATACACCAAAATATCATCAATGAAGACCACCACAAATCTGTCCAAGAACGGTCTAAAGATCCTGTTCATGTAATCCATGAACACTGCTGGAGCATTAGTGACACCAAAAGGCATTACCACATACTCATAGTGACCATACCTAGTCCTGAAAGCAGTCTTTGGTATGTCACTTTCCTTCACCCTGATCTGATGGTATCCAGATCTCAAATCAATCTTTGAAAACACAGAAGCTCCCCTCAACTGATCCATCAAATCATCAATCCTCGGAAGCGGATACTTATTCTTTATCGTTAACTTATTCAACTGCCGATAATCAACACACAAACGGGCCCCACCATCCTTCTTCTTCACTAACAGTACCGGGGCACTCCAAGGAGAAACACTGGGCCTCACCATCTGTCTCTCCAACAAATCCTCAATCTGTTTCTTCAACTCTACCAACTCAGCTGGAGCCATCCTATAAGGAGTCACTAATACCGGTCCTGCACCTGGTACCAAATCAATGCTAAACTCAACATCACGCCTGGGTGGCAATCCTAGCACATCATCTAGAAATACCTCAGGAAATTCACTAACAATCTCGATCCCAGCAATAGCTCTCTCTGTCTCAATACTCAAAGCTGTAAACAACATGAAGCACTCAACTCCATCCCTCATCAACTACTCAGCCCGACCCGCTGATACTAACACCTCATCCTCCAACTGAGAAAATACCAACTCTCTCCGAGCACAATCTATAAGGATGTGATGGGTAAATAACCAATCCATCCCTAAGATTATGTCGAAATCCACCATGGGAAACACAATCAGGTTCACTCGGAACCTCCCACCAGACACCTCTATCGGGCATCTCACACACATCTCTGACATCACCACAGAAACTGAAGCCGGAGCAGACACAGACAAATCAACATGCAATGAAGATACTGACAAACCCAATCTCTCCACACAATCAACAGAAATGAAAGAATGCGTGGCACCAGAATCGAACAAAAATAAAACATCCTCACCTGCTGCCTTCCATTTCCCCTTCACCAAGTCTGACGAAGTGGAAGCCTCTGCACCTGACAATATAAACACTCTCCCCGTAGTTATAGGTCTGGGTGGCCTCGGGGCACTCCCAGATGAAGTCGGTGGTGTCTGACAATCTCTAGAGATGTGGCCTGGCCTACCACATCTAAAGCAAACATTCCCTGGATGGGAACAATCTCTAACCACATGTGCTCCTCCACATCTGTAGCACTGCACCGACTGTGCTCCACCTTGAGGAGTAGCAGGACGAGGTCCCCTAATAACAGCTCCCCTCTGAGACTGTACAGGTCTGTCATAGGGTCCCCTCTGCTGGCCTCCCCTCTTGGACCCAGATGATCCCTCCTGAACTCTAGCAGTCTTACCGCTGCTACCACCACCCTCCAATCTCTCAACAGTCTTTGCCTTCTCAACCAAGGGAGGAAACTCCACTATGGACATAGGGACTATGACCCTCTTCAACTCATGCCTCAACCCCTCTGCAAACTTCCTACATCTCCAAGCCTCAGATATGGCCTGAGAGTAAAAACGAGCTAGATGCTCAAACCTCATAGCATACTCAGAAACAGACAAGCTCCCTTGATGTAGTCTCATGAACTCCGCCTCCTCAGCGTATCTAACGCTGTCCAGGAAATACTTCTCTAAAAATACCCTCCTGAAGCAATCCCAATCAATAAGTACACCCCTGCTCTCTAACATTTTCCTGGTGCCTCTCCACCAGTACTCAGCCTTGCCCCCCAGAATGTAAACCGCATAAGCCAACTTCCTCCTAATCATTAATTCCTCAAACAAAAATAATCTAATTTTTTCAAAACCTAACTTACAGGCACTTTTCTATAATTTAGTTCTCTCTCCCAGAGCATCATTTTTACAAATTAATCATATATTCATAGTCCTAAATATATACAGAATCATATAAGACAAATAATTCTCCAAACAGAAATAATTATAAAATTACTCATAATCCTACGGGCTCTTCCTCTACCCAATTCCCTCATGTAACTCTACATATAAATAATCCTCTTTTCCCCTGTACCTGGATATGTAGAAGTTGAATCTACACAAGATCTGGTTGGTCTCCCTCGCTGGGTTTCCCTCGGTCTAAAGTAGAAAGTAGAGGAAAAGAAGAGAGAGCAGAAGAAAAGAAATTAGAAAATGAGAGGTGTGCTTTTTGGGAGTGGCAGAGAGCTCAATTTATAGGCCTCGGGCTTCCTGGAACGGCCCGTTCCGAATTCAGAACGGCCCGTTCTGGACCATAAAAACATGGGTAAAAATCACACCCAGAACGGCCCGTTCTCAAACCAGAACGGCCCGTTCTGGTGTGCATTTATTACTCACAACTGCCATAGCCCGTTCCCACTTAAAGTTTAAAGCAGTTTTTAATAGTCCAAACTACTGAAGGAGAACGGGTCGTTTTGGAAGGAGAACGGGCTGTTTCGGAGGGAGAACGGGCTGTTTCGGATGAGTCCCAGAACGGGCCGTTCTGTAGGTGATTTTTGTGCGTGTTGAGGGAGTTCAGAACGGGCCGTTCCGGTATCGGTACAGGCC